CGTTGTCACGTCCCATTGATTCCCAGCAGCAAGAACACGAGGACACCATCATAGCTTCGGTTGAGATTGAACCCGATATCAAATTCCTGGTGAACGAAACATTGCATGGTCTGCCATTTACGGCCGAGGCTGTGCGGACCGAAGCACTTCAAGATTCAATACTGAAGAAGGTTACACACTTCCACAGAACCAGCTGGCGACGTTCGTGTTCATCGTCCGAAATGCAGCAATTTCATCAGCGAAGACATTCGCTCTCTATTATGAACGATTGCGTCCTGTTCTCAGAAAGAGTAGTCATTCCGCAGGCGTAGCAAGAAAGAGTGCTGCGGCAGTTCGATGCAGGACATGCGGGACTCAACCGAATGAAAGCGCTTGCCCGAAGTAATGTGTATTGGCCGTTTATGCACAGAGCTGGAGCAGCTAGCTAGAAGTTGTAGCAACTACGCTACCGCTTCAAGGGCACCACCGAAGATTAAACTTCACTCGTGGCCTAAACCAACTAAACCTTAGAGTCGTGTTCAAGTTGACTTTGCAGGCCCAATCAATGTCCAGAACTTTCTCATGGTGGTCGACGCTTACAGCAAGTGGCCCGAAGTATCTCTCATGAGCAGCACAAAAACCAAGGCAACAGTTTCAAGGTTGCGAAAAATCTTCAGTAGGTTCGGCTGCCCTGAAAGATTGGTGACGGACAATGGAGCACAGTATACTTCGGCTACATTCACGGAGTTCTGCAAACGCTGCGCCATCAAACACGTGCGATCTCCACCATTCTACCCACAGTCGAACGGCCAGGCGGAGAGATTTGTGGATACATTCAAACGTGCTCTCCTCAAATCAAGGAGGGAGGGTGACATATAGGTGATCGACCGCTTCCTTTTTCTGTATCGATCTACACAAAATCCACAAACGCCGGATGGAATATCACCAGCAGAGGCAATGCTGAAGAAAAAGCTTCGCATGCCATATGATGCAGTTCGGCCGTTCTCAGAGTCTACAGCTTGTGAAAGGAATCTCAAGATGGAACATGACTTTAATCGGCGGTTTTGGTGCTAAGTGTCGTTCGTTTACACTGGGTCAGCCAGTACCTGTACTTTATTACCGGGAAGTGCACGCAAGCTAGACGCCAGACACGATCCAGGGCAAGCGCGGGAACGTCATTTACAACGTGCTGATTGGAACGCAGGTGTGGGTACGCCATGCAAACCAACTGCGACCAACAGTGTGTCAACCACAAGCAACAGAATCCGCCGAGCTTCCATTTGACCTGTTGATGGACAGCTTCAACTTTTCTAAATAGCCCGTAGAAGAACCCTGTCATCAGACAAATGATACCAGACTGCAGAGCACGAAACTTGAATCCAGAACACTACATCTAAGGCGATGGACCGATAGGCGTAGAATACCTTCCAGGAGGCTTCAAGTCAATCCCAGGCTAGCATCATACACCGCGGCAGCCGTTTTAGGAGGGGGGTATCCGGGAAAAGGCAAAATTACAAAGGAAAACCCATTATTTTAGAAATCAATCGATTATCTTCGATCGTGCATTGATTTGGAAGATTCCGGAACCTTCCATTCCTTCACGTGATCGCCATCCTGCGGAGTTTTGGCTGATAGGCTACTACTTCTACCAGTTGACCTTCGTTTTCTAGAAGCCGAAAGTCATTGAGCCACCTATATATTTGGCCTAGGTCTGGCGTAGTGGTACATCGTCTTGGTGGCGTTTTTGTTTACGTTTGGCAGTTTTTTTTGTTAACACGTTTTTCGTGGTCAAGATCCATGGACTTTTGCTTTTTCTTCGGCTGGGCTAGAATTTTTGCGGAGAAATTCTTGGGTATTTAATTCGGAATAGCGAGAAAACATGAAAACCTAACAGAACTCATCTTTCTTCCCCACTTTTAGCCCAGGCACTCATCATCATCATCATCACAAGTACACGTTAGCTGACGGCGAGAAACACATCAGATAATGTACCGCAATACAGCAAGATGAGATCAAAAAATTGCACTACAAAGTACACGAATTACATTACAAAAAGATGATGTTACATATTATATTATGCATATTGCATTAAGTCGGAATTGGAGGGGGAATCTAAGGGGAGGGAGATGGACAAAGAAAGTCACAACACAAATACCATTGGGGCCGGCTCTTCGCCATATTAGAAGGTGTGTCCAACCAAACATGTTCATCGTCCTTAAGACCGCAGCCAGGCAGTCGGGATGCACTAACCGACTCCAGTTTCGAATTGAGATTTTCATTCCTCTCGACTAAGTCATCGCTTGGCTTCCCATCCTCCTCTTCCAACCGCACTCCCGGCGCGCAAACAATGCGCGTCGCGGGAGTTGGTGTGCTGGCATGGGCAACACGTGGCCCAGCCATCGGAGCCTGGTGCGTGATATAATGGTGCTGAGCGGTTCACTTACTCTCCCTACACCAAATTCGCGACGCCGAACACCTTCCTTGCTCACGCGGTGCTCCCGCCAGACATGAGCTAAGCTGCGAAGGCAGCGATGATCAAATGTGACGAGCCTTTTTCTGTGTATCTACCTGATGGGCCAGGTTTCATAACCAAATAGGAGGGTTCGACGGCTGCGTCATGAACTCTGCCCTTCAGGTCGAGAGTAATGTCGCGTCAGCTCAGGTAGTACCCGTGTACCGCGGTCATAGTACCGTTTCTGAGTGGTCATTCGTCGTCTCAGATTGTTCTGTACTCGTTCGTGTTGTGGTGAAACTGGGCGCAACGGTGGCAGGTGCCGGTATCAGAGTTCTAATCCTTCGGCTGTGTAAGCGTTGCACTGGGCTCAAACCGATATTCGTTGACGGAGGGTTGCGATTCTCCAGTCGCATAAGGTACGGGTCCTCGCCAGTTGCTCTAGTCTTTGATACCAGTCGCTTGGCCTGCTTCACTGCCGACTCCGCCTTTCCATTCGATTGACTGTGATATGGGCTGATTTGCTGGTCACGAATTCCCACTTCGTTGCGAACGCCTTGAACGCACCGCTGATAAACTGGGGCCCATTGTCGGAGACTAGCACCTCCGGTATACCGTGCCGCGAGAACTGACATTTGACCTTGTTGCTTAATACTTCTGTGCTCGTAGTGGTGAGTAGCTCGATTTCAAATTATTCACTATAGTAATCCACCGTGATTAAGTAATTTTCCCGTTATCACTGAATAAATCCACCGCCACCTTCTGTCACGGTCCGTCAGGGACATTATGCAGCATCACTGGTTCCGTCGTCTGCCGGATTTCGTGTGAACGGGGCACCTCATAATTCGATACATGCTCTTTTATTTGACTTGTCATTTCTGGCCAACAGGTCAATTCTGTTGCTCGGTTAATGGTGTAGTTGGCACTAAGGTGGGCGAGATGAACGTAATTCAGCATTTCTCCTCGGAACGATGACGGATTCAGAATATGGTTCCCCTTGAACAACAGACCATCATAGACGGAGAGTTCATCCCGGAAGTTAGAGTAGGATGTTGGTTCCTTCGGCAGTTGCTTCTTTGTCTCTGGCCACCCATTTAGAATAACGTCATGCAAAGCTGAAAGCGTTGCATCTTCCTTTGTGTGGCACCTTATTTCCTTTAGGCGATCTGTCTCTGCCAGGTGCTGTACTAAGTTTACTGCTTCGATCTTTTTCGGATTATGCTCGGGTACCGGCAGATGAACTCTTGACAACGTATCCGCGATGAACATCTGTGCACCAGACGTACACACAATATCCACGTCGTACTTTTGAAGCCCGTTAAGCATGGCTTGACGGCGACGAGGAACGACGTGCAACGGTTTCCTGGCTATTGACACAAGCGGTTTATGGTCGGTGCACAATGTTGTCTTTCTTCTGAAATGATGATCATTGAAACCCTCCATGGCATAGACTACCGCAAGGATCTCCATCTACGCATAGCGCTGCTCGGTCACGGTGAGTGCTCGATTGCGGAAATCCAGAGATTTTTCATTCTGTAAGAGAACAGCACCTATTCCATCTTGCATACTGTCACACTGTACCTCCAAACGCTGCGCTGGATCGTAATACCCGAGTACAGGCAGGTTGCTGATGAGGTGCTTAATAGTTTCGAATACGGCTTCCTGTTCTTTTCCCCAACTCCACTTTACTCCTTTGTGAGTTAACTTCCTGATCGAAGTCATGATATCAGCCATTGTCATCAAACGGTTCAAGTAATTCACCATACCGTTTAAGCGTTGGATTCCCTTTACGTCATTAGGAGGCGACATCTCTCGAATTGCCTTAATTTTTTCTGCATCGACCCCGACTCCTTGTGTTGCTAGCAAATGCCCATGGAAAATCACCTCATCTTTTTGAGGTCCACTTTTTTCACGTTTAAGCTTGATGTTCTTTTGCACACAACGCTGTAAGAAACGGTGGAGATTAGTGTCATTGTCTTCTTCTGTCGAGCCATAGATCAAAACATCGTCTGTCACGTATGTTACACCAACTAAATCGTCTACCGTTTGTACCAATCGATTTAAGAAATTTCACTCAACACGTTCAAGCCAAACGTTAAACGCAGCCAACGATAACAACCGAACAGTGTTGCAAAGGTAGTAAGGAAACTGGATTAATTATCTAGAACCATGTGCCAGAATGCCAAAGAGAGGTCTACCTTCGTGAAACACTTAGCTTTTGCGAAACGCGGCAAAATGTCTTCTATGGTGAGTATAGCGTAATGCTCTCTACACAAGGCCTCATTCAACGGTTGTGGCCTAATGCACACACACACACACAGTTCATCTGTTTGCTTCCTAATGATTGCGACTTGATTAACCCAGTCGGTTGGCTCGTCGACTTTGGCAACCACACTCTCTCTCACTAACTTGCTCAATTCAGCGGATAACCTGCCACGCAGTGCAAATAGAACTCTCCTTGCCATTTGTCATTTAACTGAACTATCAAACTTTTTTCACAAGAGCACTTCTCTTAGCTGTATCTTTACGCTGATCATAACCACTCAATCCATCTATTCATATACCCTAGAGAAGAAAAACGTTGATCGATCGTACGGACAACCATCTATCGGGGGTGATTTCAATTTGGTAGACCACAATGGGAAACGTTGCAATTTGAACTCATTCCGCGGCAAGTGGATTCTGATGTATTTTGGCTTCTGCCGGTGTCCGGATATTTGCCCTGAACAGTTACAAAGGCTGGTTGAAATCGGAGACCGAATCGGTACGTGCAACCGAGACTTATCTTTGTTTTTCGGTGAATTTACTTGGGCTATTTATGTTTTGTGATTGCATAATCATCATACTTTGATCTCAGTCTTGTTCTGAACAAATCAGTGGTCGGTAATATTCTTTACCTATTTTACTCGTGACTGCACCTTTGGGCAAATAAAGAAACCCTGCGTATATGAAGTAACTACAAGTAATCTAATTATACACTCCGTTGCTCTACTCACGCTTCATTTTCGCTGCAATCCCATAATTATGTGACTAGAGATCTTGAGTATTTGCCCACCGAACCGCACTTCTCCACTACATCGCTAATTAGTAGGTAGACCCCACCAGCAGCACCGCTGGTTCAAGATTTCCACAGCCAGTTACACTTCACAAGAGCATACATGCATTTTTGAGCTCATGATTCACACATAATGGGATTTCCTGTTTCTTTAAGCATTTATAAGAAATAAAAGCATCAGCAGTACGCCGGTACGCTGTACCAATGCTTCGCTGCCGCGCAACCACCACTGGTCGCTCTGCCCCACACGCAGGCCCAAACCCGCACCGCCAGAGTACAAGACAGGCTCGTTACCTTTAGGCCACGAGCCGGCTTAGGCATTTATCAAGCGACGGACTTATCTCACATCGCCATTCTTTGGTCCTAGAACTGTCTCTATGGCTGAACCCTTCATCACTATCGGTAACAATTAGTAGTTACCAATGGTGCTGTTATCTGGTAAATAAGCATGTTGACGGTTTCAGTATGTAACCAGTCCTCTCACACCACATAAGACTGGCCACCGTAGCACAAACAAATCTTTCTCATTAATTCATACAGTTTCCTCCAGGATGTACCTAAATCATACCAAGTTTGCATGGTTTTGCTGAGCTGAGTAAACGTACTTCCAACAGACGAAATACACAAAATAGTTTAACCTTTGTTTTTTCTTCATCCAAAACCAAGGTGGAACGAGTAAAAACGCCCCAACAGTTGCGATCTATTCGGAAACTGCTTTGTTTCACACAACTGCTTACTGTCGACATCAGTGTTCCATAGGATTAATCGAGAATTTGTCACGGCAGATTCCAAATCAGCTAGTCTTCCATATGCTCGGAAAAGCACTGCACTTCAGTTTCAACCTGTTGTGTATCATCAGTAATGCGCATCCATCAGATTCATTGGGATTCGAACCCATGACCACCAACAGCTTGCATTGTCAGTCAGCGGCTTATGCCACTGCGCCACGGGGGACAGTGTCCTACCCTTATGATTTGCAAGCTAACTGTGATATAACGCATCTTCTCTTCCACTGCCATGCAAGTTACGAACGTTGCAGAGGACATGGTTGGCCCCGAAAAACACGGCGTCCAATGACAGTAGCTATGTATGATATGGCATTTGAAAACTGTTAGGGCAAATATTTTAATGTGCTCACGAGTAGAGGATTGTGATGTAATTAATTGAGAGTTCCTCGCAGATTGAAATTGCAGTCTAGTGTTTTTCCGGGCTTGTGGAAGACTATCTGATTTGAGACCTGTTGCGACTAACTTTCAGTTAATTATATCAAAATTCCCTATTCTTGGGTATTCCTTAGAATTTGTTTTCATTGATATAGCAGAACAAAGGCTACTATCAGATCAGATAGCTTTTAGAACCCAACTGCCATTATGAACTTCACGGTTACGGAATAAGAAAACAGGATTAGAGTAAACGCAGGAAAACAATTTTTGTCCACTTTTCGCACTCATAGTTTTTGAGATTTTTTCATCTTTTTTATTGAGAAAGGGAAGGGGAATTGCCGCAACAAGCAGAGACACACGCCCGCCACTGAGTTCGGTTTTGAGCCGTGACTTCCAGAGTTTCTAACCAGCTGTAGTCAGCATTTTTGGGATCCTATCCAGAGAGTCGAGAAGAACCAACCGAAGCCAGTTGTTTTGTCAGCTTTTCCATCTTGCTTCTCTAGGTTGTAGACTGTCCACCACACCGCCTCCTACAGCCCTGTCCAGCGACAGCGAACAAGGCACGACGCGTGGTCTTAGTTCCGATCCTTGTGGTACTATGCATTCAACTTAACTGGGACCTGATAAGATTCACGCAAAACTATATTCAAACGCCGGTGTAAGAGAAAGTTTCTGATCCACTTTAAAGGTGAATTACCAAAGGTCTGGCGTTTGGAGAGCAAGATGTCATGGTCTAACCGGTCGGACGCCTTTGAGATATGAAGTCAGAGGTCCCACTGGTCTCTGCTCAAGTCAAAGTAGCACACTTCTCCTAGATTCTAATGGATAAGGTCAGAGATAATGAAAGTGATGAAAAACGTTCTACCTCCAGGTCTCAACACAGCCCAGACGGTATGAGTAAGCACGGAACGAATTGGGCAGAGACAAGCCGTTGTATCGCGACATTTTCGGAGTAGAAAGCTGGTGTGCTCTAGTGGGTCGGTTTTATCAAAGATGATAGGCGACGCATGTTGTAAACTGTCTGACCATTCGATCTGTCCCATGTGCTCCCTCAACATCTCACTTATCAAGCTTGGAGGCACAAAACCTCTACACATTCGTGGAATATGGTTCAGATAGTGAATGGGGCGTCACCATCCGAGCCCAATTTATCCAGTAACAACACTCCAACTTGCAGTTGTTAGTATAACCCTGAAACCGGATGCTGCACATTGTTATTATCACTGGTTGGCAGTGTCTAACATGAATCTACCTCAACTATTGTGCTAACCGACGATTTCTACCTGTGCTCGCAACTAGTGGCATTGCTATCAAACCACTACAATCAACCTGTACTTAGGCCTCCCTCGGCCGTTATGTTCATGACGCAGATAACTTGACCTCCCTCCCGTCATGCACCGTTTCTCGGTTTCATTTGTTGCTTACTTATCGAGCACATACTCCCCATTCGCACCTTTCCACGCTACACATTTATACTCCATCGTGTGTCATTCCAAGCTCGTCCTCCCAAACTTTTTTGCTATCGTCACCGTTTATGATAGGATTATAACCATTTACTGTCATAGGATACGACTGTTATCGCTTACTTCGAGTGCGGTTGCACAAATCAAGTGGTACGTTTGCCCATTCTGCCTGGAATTCTTGCCATGAACACTAAGATGCTCTCAGTATGGTTGTCATACCTCATGCAACGATGAGATAAAAATAAACATTATGTCAGGTAGAGGATGGAACACTTCGAACAGATCGAGGCTTAAATTGAACCATTCTGTGCGAAGAGGCCACTTGTCCATCGTTAACATCAGATCACGTAAGGTTAGTTCTGCCCCAATGGATGCACTGTGTGTTTGTGGTTTAACTGTCCCATGTGTTTAAGAGAACTCCAGGTAGCGCCCAGTGCGACACACTGTATCTTGAAAATTAGCACACTTCCTGTTTTCATATTGTTGCTATTCCCGAACATTGTATCACTGTTCGTCATTTTACTTTATTTTACCCCTCCGACTGAAGCAACTGCAGAGTTTCTTCATTGTCCGACGATCTCACGATTCACTCTCCGACGGTACCCTGTTTGTTGTGAACTGGAATCAGACCAGTCCACTCTGTCAGGTTGGCGTTTACCCCACTCACGCTTAGGTATTAGAATTTTTTAATTGCGTGCTCATCTTATTCTTATCTGCTCTGAAATTTCATGAATTTCGTGCACTGAGTTTTTATATATTAACAAGTCTGTAACATAGATATTGAGCCATTAACAACCATAAAAATGTAACTAGGAACAATAATATGTACAACGATATCAAAAGTTAATAAAGAATCAGTAAAAACTTTTTGTCTTGCAGTGTTTCGAAATACCTGTAGCTCGGATTGGTAGGTTAGATTTCGATTGGTTCTTGGAGCTAAGTAATTTAATGACAAACGTTTCACCACTTCACTCAGTGGTATCTACGCTGCACGGCTGCATTGACCTCAATCCAGTGTACCTACAGCTGAGAAAGCATAAAAATGGGTGGCTGAAAATCGAACGAACAGAGTTAGCGGGACACGGATCGACGAGGCCAATTTCAAACAGTACGTCCCGATGACACTTTCCATGAGATTATCCTCTACGCAGCCGTGCACCGAACATGCCGCTGTGCGAAGTGATGTGACGTTTGCCATTAAATTACTCAGCTCGGAGAACCAATCAAAACTTTTTGTCTTTTTTCACACGCCGTTTCTTCAATTATTTTGTCTTTTAAGGAGTTATTATCTTTGGAATCAGGAACTAACCCAGACTTGCCCGCATTGTTTTCATTGCAACCGATTTTGTGCCATTATTCTGAGTGATTTAAGTCATCGGCATTCTTCCTCTTTCGGTCTCCAATCGAGAAGGCGTACCGGATCAACAGTTTATAGGATGTGAGCGATTTGATGCTTTGATGTCAGGTGGTCGGCTGGCCACCACGTGGCCTCTTCCAGTGCAGCCCTTTACGCACAAATAGGGCGCGGCGTGGAATTCGCTCTTCAGGCTAGCGCATAACATGCCCAAGCCATCTCAATTGGCGCAATAGAACAAGTTCATAGAGCGGGAGATCCATTTTGTCAAAGACGCGTTGTCTGATCTCATCATTGCGCACCCGGTGTTGCCACCATAAACGGGTGATCCTCCGCAGGCAGCCGTTTTCGAAGTCCAAAAACCTACGCCTGTCGTCTACTCGAGTTGGCCAGGCTTTGTATCCATACAAAAGTGCCCCGCGAAGACAGGCATTGTAAACCCTACCTTTTAACAAAAGCGAGATGTCGCCACAGGTTTGTCAAATTAGCAAATGCCGAGCGGGATTTTACGATGCGGAGAGACACCTCTTCTCCAAATGGTCCCGTCGGTAGAGTTACTGCTCCCAAGGTAAACAAAACTATCCACCTGCTCAAGTCAGATGTTTTCGATGGCGAACTGAGGGAGAGCAGTTTGCTAATCCCGTCAGCACTGCATTTTGAAGATGCAAAGCACATGCTATACTTGGACGCTTCAATCAGCAATCGATCAACGATCAATTGTGTCCTATGAAGATCGTCACCGAGCGGGGCGATATCATCAGCGTAATCTAAGTCGGATGCACGATTAACTGAAAAGAGCTCAATTCCAGCATTTTGAAAGCTCTCCAGATTTCCCAACAGGGCATCTCCGATCGCGAAGTTGAAAGGAAATGGAGACATGGGGCATCCTTGTCGCACACCGCTGGTGACAGGGAAAACTGTGGAGAGCTTGTTGTAGGCTCTTACTCTGTCTGAGGTATAGAGGTATAACGCCCGAAGAATAGCGATGTACTTTTCAGGGACTCCGTACTTTAGCAGGCAATTTCATAAAGCAGGTAAATCTACGGAGTCGAATGCAGCCCGAATGTCCAGGAAGACGACGATGATACGTCTGCGGTCTATGTGACTATGTTCAAGGAGCTGACGAAGCGTGCAAATATGATTCACGCAACCACTACCGGGTCAGAAACCAGCCCGTTCCTCTCGATAGTACGCCTCGCGAGTTGGCGACAGCCTACGCAACCTAATGGATACCCACAGCTTGGTGGCAACTGATACCAGCTTGATCCCTCTATGATTGACACATGAAGTCCGGGAGCCTTTCTTGAAGACTGGGACAGTAACTGACTCTCCCCATGAACTGGGGTCTCTTTCTTCACTCCAGATCTTCATAAATAGGGATGTTAGCTGGGTGACAATTTTCGTGCCACCTTATTTGAACAGCTCCGAAGGAAGCGCGTCTGAACCAGCAACCTTAAAACACTACAAGTGTCTAATCTCAAGGTGAAGTTCGGGTTCAGTGGGTGGTTCGAGTGCCACAGCCCATGGCGTACACCGGAGCGAACTAAGTACAAAAGTGAACGACGGACAAGAACTGAACTGATATTGGAAATACTCAACCCATCTGTCTATGCGCCTCTGAAAATTGGTGATTTGTGACCCATCCACTTCACAAATAATTTCGCTAACACCAGACCTTTTGTGAATGCTAGACCGAATGATCTGAAACAACCTGCGAGTATTTCCAGAGAGGGCGGCGGTTTCCATCTCCAAGGCGCGTCGAGACCATCAAGCTACACGAACACCGCGAAGGCTCCATTTAACTTGGCGGTTGATAGCGCGACGAAGTTTATTGTGATCGTCGTTAAAAGGGAAAGTTTGAGTGCGATCGAACAGTGTCAGGGAGCGCGCGGAGATCCAACTCTTTGAGGGGCAATAAGTGAATCCACAGACTGATTGGCCAGAAGATAACATCGTATTCTGCAAGAAGTTTTAATGTAAATCGACCTCATTAGTAGGAGCACACGCTAAGGCGTTTGCCAATCGGCGTTTGCAATCGGTAGTTCAGTTGTGTCGACGGATCGGTTGCTAACTTTTTCCTGTCAAGCTTACAATGCTTCGTTTGGGAGGACCCCCAAGGCGCATGCAAATGTTCACACAAACCAGTGCGTGATCAGAATCAAGGTAAGTAGACCAAAATGTTCTACAGTCCTGTGTGCTGCCTCGCCACCCGAAACTGATTACAAGGTGATCTATTTGCGATCTGGCCTGCAATGATGAAGAAGGACCAAGTGTTAGAACGCCTTCTCGAGTGTCTGAAATTGCTGCTTGCGTGAAATACACCATTGTCTCCACACAAACTAAGAAGCCTGGACCCTTTATCGGAGCGATTCTTGTGCTGTGCGTGATCTCCACCTAGGTGATATTCACCTGACAGCAGTCGACCGACGTGTGCATTGGAGTACCCGGTGGGGACTACGACATCCGATTTGGCGGCATTGCACAAAAACTGATGAAGTTTGTAAAAATCATTCTTGATTGATCCACAGCTACACACAGTTGGGGCATAGGAGGAGACCACGAGCAGCTTGCACCATTCTCCGCATCGCCTGTTGACTCTGCATGAGCCTTTAAGTCACACTGCACGTAATCGGCTGTTGACTGGGATCCATTCCAGCAGTGCGGCCTCGGCTTTGCTGCTTGAGACCACACCAACGCCTGCCAAACAAACTGCAGCCGCTTCTGTGTCTCCAGAAAGACCTAGATGGTATATGGCTCCCTGGTTCGTCGGGGTAGTCAACTTACCACAGTGCTAGGGTCTTACAATCTAGTTTCAAAAAGGCAGACTATATCAATAGCAAGCGAGTTCAGAGTGCGTATTAGACCGGCCTGTTGTCAAATCTGCGTGAGAGTTCGAACGGTGGACGTTGCCAGCCAAAACGATGGTCTGGGTCGAAGGATAGCCTCAGACCGGATTCTCTGGGTGGTATCAAAACCGGTGTAGGGATTAAATTGTGGGTAACACTGGTTAATAACATATACATGGTTGGCGTGTGATGGAGACTGGTGAGAGGCGATGGAGAGAGGCAGAAGTGTGCAACGAATTCGTAGAGTAATCCATGCTTTTTGCCTCGGGCACGAAACTACCCGGTTGCCCTAGCCGACGTACCGGGTTACCTTATTGGACTCCTCCCCCCGAACATCTAGTCTCAAGGCCTACCTGCAAGACAGCGGAGCGAATTCAGGGAATCGCTCCCATTGAGAGTTGACGACCAATTTCTCGGTTCATACGCCTTTTGTTTGCTAAGTTACCTAACAGGGGCCCAATCCTCCGTTCATTTACGTTTAAATCAGGCCAAGACAGAGCAAACAGTTCTGTTTTCCAATGCATGTGTTTATTTAGCATCAACCGTCGTGTCTGGCTTTGTGGTAGGCCGAGGTGATATCCGCGTGTTTTGTCTAATCTATCTACGATTTCATACTATCGTTGTGAATGGTTACCTGAATATCGCGACTCTTTGACTACCTGGCTACTCAATCAACTTCATGTGGTTCTCTATAGTATTTCAAATTCCTAAGCTTTATCTGGCCGTTGTATCAACATTCTCTAACTGGGGAATCATACGAGACAAACATATTCGTTTCCTTGTTTGTGGTATCAGCAACATTGAATCTTTTGAACTAACCAACTTACTTTGCTAGATCTTGAGTTCGCAAGTGATTAATCGGAAACCGAGTTATACGCTGGGATTCGCAACTTGTAAGCTAGCTTCAACCATACTGTGGGGGGAAACGCGTATTATCCACCATTGCCTGCTCACTCTAGAATAAGGAAAAATACACCAGCAGTACGCCGGCACGCAGTACCGATACTTCGCTGTCGCGCAATCACCATTGGTCCCACGTGGGCTAAGGATACTGTGAGGGTCACCGGGTCCCTATGTAGCGTCGAGCCCGCGCTCTCGGATTACAAGGCGGGCCTGTGATCCTTAAGGCCACGAGCCGGCGCCTATTCACTAGTGTCTAAAACAAACCGATTTCTGTCGATTCATCGCTTATTTAAATACTAGCGTTATCCACATCACGGCTGTGGTTTGCGTAGTTCTGTTCCACTGCTCGCCACCTTTGTGGCCCAGTGAGGCTGAGGTGTTTTCCTCATCTAGCTAAACATGTATTCTAATGATGCTGATGCTTGCCACCCCCAGATTACTTGGGAATGTTTCCAATCGAGATACTTCATGTGATATTTCTTTTTTGGCTCGTTGCACTTCTCGTTGAACTTTAATGCTTAATCGGCGGTTCGTCCAGCGTCTCAGCCTCGTGTTGCCGTTGTTTCGCAAAGGACGCCCGTGTTTGTTGTGATCACACTAGAGATCTGCAACTTCGTTTTCCAGTGTATCACTTCCATATGTGATATGAGCCTGCCAATATTTGTTTCACACCTTTACATTTAGTTATCGCTTCGTTTGTGTCTACAACTCGTTTGACTTAACCTCGTTCCGTGTGACGCGTTTTTTGCTTTAGTTCAAGTAAAGACGCAACCATTCTGATCTAGCGGATCATCAGAAATGCTTATGTCAGCTTTTATCAACCGCTTACTCTACTGACCCTTGTCGATTCAGTTGGTCCGGTTCCTCTGCCAGTTGGACTCGCTTGTTTGTTGGCCAATAAATGATTGAGTTCAATCCCGTTTCCAGGCTCGTCATCGACCAGCCACGTATACTTAGCTGATCTATTTAATCACGATACTTCGTATCGATTACCCACCTTCGTACTGATCGTCCTCCGTAATCCTTGTGTATTTCAGCGCTCACTGGTCATCAAAAGCGGCCTCTCATCCCTGTTTTTGTCACTGTGGATTACGAACGTGACACACCTGATGTCGTCGCGGCGTATGTCAAAGGTGTGAGTCGTCACCATTTCTCACCGTATTCGCTTCATCAGTCTGGCCTTTACACCGGGTTGTTTGACTCTTTTTGAACTGTGGTGAATGTCCAACCCACTAAGGCTCAGTTCATCAGCTGCGGCGCATCCTGAGAAACGCTCGATCACCGCTGCATCCCCTTGACACTCGTCAGCACGCACACTCCTCTAGTCTTGCAGGATGCGGACCCACCAATCTTAGGGGACAACAACCTAGATCCCTGAACCATTGGCGCCTGCAATGGGCCGTTCTGACTAATTGATTCCCATATTACTCACCTACCTACTCAAGATACAACGAACCTAAAGAATTTCGCTGCTACCTTTATTATGAATTTGCAGCCAACTGCATTTTCTGACTAGGGTGGCAGGTTTTCTACTTTCACGCATTGTGCATTTTAGTCATCTACTACGCAGTGCAGAGATGATTCATGTGGTGGCTTTTTAACATGAGTCACATGGGTCTCAAGCAACCCCCCAAAGAACAAATGTCGCGGTCCCCATCGTTCGTCCAGATTTTTTGCTATTCCTCTCCTTTTTGCTCCTGTTCTGTTGGTCTTTGTACTCTCTAAAATAATGTCGGTGCATTCAGTTAATGTCTTCCGAAGTCCCAGTCTGTCCATCTTCTTGCCTTTGTTCCAATGTGTCGTGTAAGCCCCCTGGGCCCTAATGTGCTCTGGGCAGAACATCACAACCTTGCAATCAAGATAACGAAACCCTTCTACGTCATACGGATTACCTCATTTTTTGGAGCTGCCGAGTGTGTCGCATTCGTCACCTTAGTGTGTGCAATGACCTCTAACCAAAGCAACTCTTAGTTTGTTTTTGATCGGTTTGACCGTGAACTTGGATATGCCTGATGAGGAGATCTGTTCTGTTTGCATACTACACGCACAGCCGGTCAGCATTTTACCATAGTGTCTCTGCTTAAACACTGATCTGAGAATGCGGCACTTCACTAATGTGTTTGTTTTGCACTTTTTCATTTAACTTCTGGGTTCAGAATTCTCTCCGTATTTGGTCGGGTTGACGGGATCCAAGGAGGAAATTGACAGCTTGGCAAAACTTTATCGCATCTACTACAGCGCTGGCCCCAAGGATGAAGAAGGTGATTATATAGTAAGTACAATTTTCCCCCTTTTTTCCAAAATCACGCATCTGAAATCCAGCGTCACCATTGATGTAGTGTTTTTCTCAAACTGTCGATACCGAGCCGCGCATTTTGCTTGCTTTTCCACTAATACCTCAGTTAGCAGGAGAGACCATTTTCGTTCTGCTGGATGCTTCGCCGATCCATTGATTGCACACGCAGAACATCGATTATCTTGGAGTTCAAGTGAGTGGTCTTAGTGTGGAAGAAGGGCTGAAATCCTATTACCCGACTAGCGAAAGGTTGGCGTTACTGTCTGAAGTTACTCTGCTTTTCTGGCATGTGCTAACGGTCTAACTCGTTCCCACCCTTCGATTTTTTCGATCTTTTATACTCCCGCGTCTGATGCGTGCCTCAGTGACCCATTGTAATAGGCTGTTGATGTTTTTCAAATATTTTAGGACCTATCATACCACGTAAATCGACCGTTGAAGGCTTCACAAACTCTGTCCCAACCTCGTTCCCATAACAGATTGACACTAAGTCAATTGCTCCATGCTCTTAAATACTTATTCATTGGCAACAGCACTGTTCAGCCCTAATCCTAGCTCGTTCGGATTTGGGGACAAACGCCACGGTTTATCCCTGATGGTGAGAGATCACTGCTGTCGTTCACTAGATTATTACCCTTCTTTTCAGTTCAAATTACTTCTGGTCATTGGTATGTGTAGATCTCTCCGAAAGCGCACGTGCAGTTGACTGTGGTCGTATATATATCTGCTGCTGCTGCGTCTCGTGCACAAACTCAAGGAGGAATACCGCATTCTCATTACCAGGCAGTGTCTAGTGTGAATGTATTGGTATTTAGATTATCGAGTCAGAGATTGCGATCTGTCTTCTTTGAGCAATCATTTGGAAGCACTGGTTGCTTGAAGGGATTGTGACGCGTCATCTGAATGTAAACAACAATTCGCGTCGAAAGCAGCCTTAGTCAATCGGTAACTGATGTGACGGATAGCTAGTGGATGTTGCCTTCACCGCATTCCATGACCGGCATCGACCTGTTTGAACTCATTAGGTAAATATTGCAGGCCCCTCAAACTCGGGGTCTTTGGTATGTCAACCGAAACCTATAACTCTGAGCCACCGAATTGCCTTTGACAACGCTTGTCACAACGCTTAATAACTGCTGGCATGGGTTAGTTGGAAACACTCGTTATGGAACTGGATGGCGCGCGCAATCTCAATTTTTGTGTTTCCCTCCTAACACGTGCGCATCAAATTGGTTTTGCTTCCTACATCACGAATTCTGTCCATTACTTGAAGCCCATTTTAAGCGTTCTTTACTAACTCTGCGTATACTCCTTCCTGTGGCTGTATAAGGTAACTACAGGCTACTACATTCCATCTACGACTGCTGCCCTCTTCTGCCAAGCTGTCTACTAAACTATTTCCCACCTATGTTCGTGAAAAGTTCAATGACATTCGTTTAATCACGAAGGGAAATCGTTTGTTACCCTCTCAAGTTCGTGCCGTTGGCATCGGCCGTGATTGCACGCAGTCACCAAGCTGACCGGTGCGCATTAACACAGTGAATTTTTTATGTCTCGGCAATGCGGGAGTCGGCTCGCACCTAGTTACGGATCAAAGGATACACAGTTGTGTTTCACAAACGAAATCTTCCAACATAGGTTTACTGAGAATTCACTCCAACATGCGCTTATTAATTTCTGTTAGTATTTCTGTAGTTAGACATGTCCGAGAAGAGTGCTGAGAAAGGGGTTCCTCATACTCATACAAGGACATCTGCAGATCTGCTTTCGTTACGTAGTAATCGTGGTTGTTTTACTTTGGTTCTTGTCTCATTGATGAATATAAGCATCTTCCAACGTGGAATGTGGTTACAATTTTCCAGAAGGCAAAATTTGTTATAATTGTTCCATCATGTTCAACTTGAAGCAACTCCCATACAGCCAGTAAAAAAATGTAAACAATGGCAAGTTTGCCCTATTGACGCCATTGTCGAATAATGTTTCCTAAGGCTGTGATATCCGTAACATGAAAATGATGTGGAGCACAACAAGATATTTCTTGATGGGCATTTGAAACCCCCTGCTTGTGGCTAGTTTTTGCAACGCTTGGAGTAGGCAGTGAGAAGTATGTTTCCTTTTGTTCTTATTTTCGTCCCTGGAGTCATACTCTCGCAACTTACATCACATATGGAATATCTGCCACCCTGCGTCATAGACAAATTGACCCCTGCGGTTGTCAGCAAGCGGTGCCGTGGTCCTAATGCCAACAACAATGACCACAACCACAAATTTGATTGACTTGACTGTGCCCTACAAGACTTATAAAAAGATTTGTCCTTGTATTGGTACTGACGAGATAATACGAAATGCTAGCATCTGCCGATATTCCTCTTCTCATTCACGGAATTTCCAATTGCGAAAGAATTATTACAGGCCAATAGATGCAATGCCGACATTTCGCAGCGCTGCCCTAATTATTTGTTTATTTACTTACTCTCCTATTTAGGTAACTCCAGAAGGTTCAGCGGTTTGCGCGCGTCTGAGAGAGTTGTGGGTTAATCAGAAATACGCTTTTCCATTGGGCATGCATGTCATCCGCCATCTTGATTGTGCAGTTGATACAGCGCAATGAAATCATGAGTGCTATCGAGGGCATTGACAAACCCTTTGCTCTTAGATCATGTGCTAGCTGGCGTATTGTTGTTCCTGTTCATGCATGTGGCCTGTCTGTCGAGTCACACGACCAATGCTGTATAGACATGCATTTCTATTCTCGTGGAAAGAATCCGCTGCTATTCACATGCCGCATATATGTAATATTGTATCCCAATGACGCCACCTCAGCGGTGGTGCGAATATTTCCCAGTCAATTTGGCGATATATCCAGTTAGACGTAAGACAACAACAAGCCTTACTCACTGCATTTGTTAACATGATGTATAAGGGCATAATGTTTTGAGCACCCTCCGGTTTACCATTTAACAGATCCATATATATATATATATATATATATATATATATATATATATATATATATATTCACAGGCTGTTAACAGACATTGTGCCATCAGAACCATGGCACAAGCAAAAAAAGTGGAGAAGATAGAAACACTAATTACGATTTAAAAAATGGGAAACGATTTTTTTGGTTTTACACACGCCATTTTGATTTTTTGTTTTTGTTTCTTGCTTTTTGTGTGTGAATTAAATAGGGGATAAAATGGCGGAACAACATTGACACCACTGATGTCTGTTGCGAGCCATGACGTCCAATGTTTCCAACCACTGCGATTCTGTATCTCGTGGTCCCCAACCTAGAAGACGGACTGCTCCGACTGCCGCCAGACTTGAGGTTGTCTTCTTCATACTTCTTCTCCACGTCATTAGCTGTCCACCGCGGCACTTTTCCATTCGTTCCCTTGGAGTGCAAATAACGCTCTACGTGGAAGGCGATGGGCTGGTACGCGCAAAACGTGCCCGAACCAACGCATGCGATGTCGGAGAATAACGTTTTTAAGACTGGCACTACTCGCTCCAAGCACTCGGTCTTGCACCACACTCGAGCAATCCTTCGTAGGCAGCGATTGTTGACGACTGACAACCGCTTCATGTCTTCCGAGCGAATAGGCCAAGTCTCAGCCGTACGAGAGTACTGCACGGACCGAAGCATTGTACACTCTGCCATTGAGCCTGAGGCTGACATCACGACGACGCCATAGATGTCTCAGTTTGATGAACGCAAGGCGGGCCTTTGCAATCCCTTGTGAGACTTCATCTCCAACACCGCCATCAGCCATGATTCAACTTCCTAGATAAGTAAAGCAAGGGACATGCTCCAGAACATGTCCAGCAATGGTAAGCGCGGGTTCAGGCACCTGCCAGTCCTGGAGCAGCGTTTTACATTTTCCCAGAGTGAAGCATAAGCCGTACTTGGACGCCTCCATCGCTAATCGGTCCAAAGCGCTCTGGACAGTTTGTGGGTCGTCCCCCAGCAAGGCGAGATCATCGGTGTGACTCTGTCTCCACAGTCCTGGACACCTTCCAGTGCTCTTTGCACATCTTTGATGGCGAAATTGAAGAGGAAAGATGAAGTAGAGCAACCTTGGCGAACACCGCTGGTCACAGCAAATGAAGAAGAGAGTGTGCCGTAAGCCCTGACTTTGCCCGACGTGTGACTGTGAAGTTCTTTCAGGATGTTAAGGACGAGGTCAGGGATGGTGCCATTCCCAGTCGAGGATCAAACACATTTAGCCGAACGTTTCGAGCAAAATATGACACAATATGCAAGTAGCGCCTATGGTGAAGCGCTAGTGTTCCAATAAATTTCCGTCATATGGATGTCGCCTCCAACAACTTAATGGTGGCCTTTACGCACCTGCATATAGTCACATATGTCACCCGGCTGTCTAATATTGATGATGCTGATATGTGGTGCCTTGTACGCAAATCCGGTGCGGGGCTTCCAGTCAATTATCCATGCTGTAATCACCACAGATTCAGCGACAACTCTAGGGTTCCTTTCAGTTACCGACGACAAATGGCTACTGTTATCAACAGAACTCGTGCAACCCGCTCTCCTGCCACTCGGAGGGCCATTTGAGTAGCTGTTATATTTTACAATATGGTGTTGGAACTCATACGTCTGGTCGTTGGGCAATGAATCGGGAACTTCGAGACATATACGCTATGGCGAAGGAACTGCATGTTATTGTTAAGCGTGAGGTAGGCAATCAGAAACATTACACAACTCACGTGTGAATGCGATGAACCTGAGATTTGTTCACATATGCAAACTTCAAATCCATTAAAACTGCAGACTCAGGCTACTGTGATTCTCCAGCCAGGCGTAGACTCATATGAATGGTATACATGCGTAAGGATGATGCAGTCTCCGCATTGTGCACCGTGAGCAAGTGCCGTGGGTAGATAACAACATCAATGGGTCTGTAAGAATTGTTCTAGCTAGAATGATTCCCAATGTCACCGTGACACGACATTATTGGGTGGTCATTCGTCTCCACTTAGTTCGTGCACATTTGGTAAACAGTTCCAGGTCCAGTGCCCATAGATCCGCCGTTATTTAATGGTTGTAGGATGGACGCGTGTGTGCGTTAGATGTCATCACGACAACGCGGACCCTATGTTTTGATAGGATATTGAGGCTTTACCTCACTTAGGCTTATAGGTACGACTTGAGACTACGACCCCCCGAAGTGACCCTTCAACAAGCACTAAACGCATTGTAAGCATGCATTGTGGAGCCAATGTTATCGTCCAACGAGACTTCAGGATTTTTCTGCTTTCTAATGACAACATGTATCCGCGTAGCTTTCACGTCGGCAGCAATCTATGTCACGAGTCAGTGTGTGGTTTACACTCGGCGATCTTGTACCGTTTCATGCGAGTTACATATTTCTGACAACGCGCATCCCGTACTTCCACAAAGTAATTGGTAGAACATGCTTGGCTACCTTTATGCATGGTATTGTCCGGGGATTTGCGAGGGTGCACTCTTAGGAAGGTAAATTCCGGGTCTTTGGCTCTGAATGACAGTTGATAACGTTTCCCCTTGCCTGACATCAGATAGACCCCACTTCGCGGTGGTTGTTCTACGTCTGATCTACGCTCCCTGACTCGCAGGCCTCTAGAAGATGTGTTCGGGTCATAGTGGTCCAATTCATCCTGATCCAAATCGTATCTCCTACCTGAGGACGTCAACGAATTGATATCTTCGTAGGCGCTCTTGTTTAGTTGTCTGACGTCAAATGGCTGCCCTGGATCTCCGTCATAAATGATCCGTCGTGTCGTAGCTTCCCTAATGGCCAACATTTCGCTTCCTTCTGTACAGCTCTTGTAGTTTAGCACGTGATACTTCATTCAAATTGCCGTGGTGTTCGATCGGTCACATGCAGCCTCACACGACCTAGGCCACCTATTCGCTTCGTAGATTTCGGTTCGTTCATTTTCGCTTCTTCAGCTGCTGGTAATACATCACCTCTGTGTGTTTTAACGAACGTTGTCTGGTTCTCCCTCTACTACAGCAACATCACAAGGTTGGAGTGAAATCAGGAAATTGATGCATACTCTAGCCGGTGACTTTTCTCACTTGCGGGAGAAGAAAAATGCACGTAAGCGCACCTCATGGATGAACCTTCAGTTGCATAGTTGTACTGAACACCATAACCCCGTTGGGTTTTTTTTAGTCCAACTTGGTCCGAAGTGATTGTCACTTGCTTCTTCGTCTCAATCATCCGACCAATGCTAGAATACGGCTCATTCGCATACCGCCTTATCACCCGGGACAAATTACAAAGGATTAGGCCACCAGGCTAATGCCCAATTTACGCGGCTTGCCGTACCAAACCGGTGTCTAGTGCTGCTCCAGGACTGGGAGCCATCTGCCCCTTCACTTACCATTGAAGCAAAACAGCTAGAGCTTATGGACAACTTTATATTATTATTATTATCATTATTATTATTATTATTATTCAACATTTGGTCAATCTACAACTGGCAGTGCCACAACACATAGTTAACAACAACAAAATGGGCACAACAGGTAGACAGTGGGAAGGTTTTGAAGGTTTACAAAGTTAACTTGTTGTGCGGGCAGAGGTTTTCCGAGTTGCCCAGGCCGAGGACAACTTTGTCTACCTCGGAAGCTGTATTTCTGCTGCTGGCACTATGGAGAAAGAGATATCCGCATCGCCAAAGTCCGGTCGGCATTTACCAACCTTAGTCATTTGTGGCGTCGTCGGGACGTATTCCTCTCCTTAAAGCGGAGGATCTACAACGCTTGTGTTCGCGCGGTCCTCTTGTACGGAAATGAAACCAGTTCGTGTGGATAACATGCGTAGGCTTTCGGCGTTCGACAATACCTGTTTGCGGCGGATAGCCCGTGTGTGGTGGCAGCACCGGGTACGCAACCATGAAGTCCGGTGTCGCGTCTTGGGAAACATAAGCCTTCCGCTTTGTCGTATTGCGTCAATTGAGGTGGTTTGGTCACTTTCTAGGTAGGTCATGCAAGCGTTTACCATGCCGCGTCTTATTTGTTCGCACTGGATTGATTTGGAATATATCGCGTGGAGGTGAACCAACCACTTGGCGGCAAACCATGACATCGCTGACCTGTCTCGCAATGACCGGCCCAGTACGTCTTCCTGATTTGGGAGGCTGACGGAACGCCTATAAGCAACTTACAAAGGCGTATGGACCGGTGGGCTGAACACTTCCGCACTCAATTCAGATGGCCTCCTCCACCGGCGAGTCTATTGAGTATACCTAGTTGCACGTCTTGGAACGTCTCATTGGAACCACCCACTGAAGCTGAGGTCTGCCTTGAGCTCCGACATTTGAAGCGATTCAAGTCTGCTGGTCCTGACGGACTTCCTCCAGAGCTGTTCAATATCGGGGTCGAAGTAATTGTCAACCAACTAACAGCTCTGTTCCCCAAGATCTGGTATGAAGAAACAGTTCCATCCGCTTGAAGCGAGTCAATTATCGTCCAGATCTTCAAGAAAGGTGTTCGTACCCTATGCGCTAACTACCGAGGAATCAGTCTAATGTCCGTTAATAAGCTGTTAACATCCATTCTACTCTGCAGACTAACCCCGGTTATAGAATTGCGCTCCCGTGAAGAACAAGCTGGTTTCCGCCCCGGTCTAGAGTGTATAGACCACTTGTTTACTCTCCGCCAACTCCTTGAAATGCGTCATCTTTACCTTTAGCCCACTATCGTTGTTTTTCTGGACATTCGAGTCGCTTTCGACTCCTTCGATCGATCAGCTTTATGATGTTGCTTACAAAGGAATGGAGTACCCGAAAAGTATATCGCAATCCTTCGAGCATTATATTGCAATGTCTCAGGTAAGCTCTCTTTACCTTTTGCCGTCCCTAGTGGTGTACAACGGTGTTGCCACATGTCCCCCTTTCTCTTCAATTTTGCGCTCGAGAATGTTCTTTTAAACACTCTCGAGGGCTTTCAGGGTTCTGGTGTAGAGCTTGCTCTCGACAATTGCCTGACCGATTTAGATTACGCTGATGATATTGCCTTGCTTGGTGATGACGCACAGAACACACAAGCCGTTGTCAATCGCTTGGCGATTGCAGCATATGTGGAAGCATATATGGAATAACTTTTGCTCCTACGAAATGCAAACTCCTGGTCCTGGATTGGCATCCACCTGCACCGGTGCTCACTCTCCAAGGTACGCAGTTTGAACAAGTGGACAACTTTGTTTACTGGGAAGCTGTGTTCCTGCTAATGGTAGCATTGGAAAAGAGATTTCCCTCCACATGGCCAAACCCCGTTCGGCATTCGCCAACTTGGAGCATCTGTTGCGACGCCGCGACTTTTTACCATTGGTAAATGACAGGGTGTACAATGCCTGTGTTCGCGCGGTGCTGCTGTATGGGAGTGAGTCCTGGCCGATTAGTGTGAATGACTTGCGTCGGATTTCGGCCTTTGACCATGGATGTCTGCGGAGAATAGCTCCTATGTGGTGGATGAACCACGTGCGCAACGACGATGTCAGACGCGACGTCTAACATCGTCGTTGCGTCTTGGGTAACACGGGACTTCCACTTGACAGACTGGTACCACTGCGCCCAATGCGGTGGCTAGGCCACCTTTTACGCATGCCATGCGAACAGCTGCCCCGACGCGCTCTCTTCACTCGCATAGGACTAGGCTAGAAGAAATCGCGCGGGGGTCAACCCATCACGTGGCGATAAACGATTAAAGCGCTGACTTCCAGTTTGGCTATCTTAGGTCCCGTGCGTCTTCCCGGCTGGGGGATCAAAAATGATTAACACCGCTGGCTGGAAACTCTTTCGGAGATGGCACAGAACCGGGCTCGATGGAAAGTGTGTACAAATGTTTGATTTGCTTGATTTCCTCGCAAACACTAAACAGACAAAAATAACAAAACGGCGTGTGAAAAAAGACAAAATACACGAAAAACGTTTTTTGTAACTTTCATTCCTTTCTTTGTGGTTTCTGTATTTATTACTTCCGTTTCATGGGTTTCACTTTCTTTACGTCTTTTTTATAGATTGCTGCTGCATTCACGATGCTTCTTCACCGCAGTTGGGCTAAACCAACTTACATTTAAACTAGGTCTTTTTAATGCGGTAAAATTCATTACATTTTATTTGCTTTGTTCTGCGTACTTGATAATCTTCCCCCAACTTGCACACGTCGCTCATGCAAATTGTGGTAAACTTGCGTAATTTTATCGCGTGGTATTTTGTAAATAACTTTTGGACATTTTGTACTTATCGCGTATTCACCTTTAACCAATTTCTTCCATATGCTCATTTTGCGTGTATTTATGTTGTCATCTGCGTTCACTTTATTCGATATCGGCATTTTCAACGATTGACTGTTGTTTGACATCCCAGGTGTGGCTGCGCTTGATGTGCATGTTGACAAGGTGCCTACCTGTCTATTACCCACTACCTCGTCCATACTGGCTCCAGGAGACAGTTGGTCGTTGCTGGAGGGGATGGGGTGCACGTTCCTTGTGGTCGTGCTAGACTCAATGTGGAGCGGACTACGGTCCAGCCACTGCCTTGTGTGTGCTTGATTCCCCAAATACAGCGTGCTTGTGTTTGCCTGTGAATGAGTGTGGGCCGGCTCCGTTGATGAAACGTGGCTTCCATCCACATGCCTCCCGGTCTTATTCCTTCGGGTTTACACTGGATATGGTGTGTGTGGTTGGAGCTGTGGGTGGTGCAGGGCAAGCCACTCATGGTCCTTCTGTAGGCGCAGGCGTCCTGTGACTGGCAAACCGGATGCCGCCAACCATATATATATATATATATATATATATATATATATATATATATATATATAGATTGATTGATTGATTGATTGGGGGCTCAATGATGAGGGCTGTCAATGGCTCGACACACTGGGTGATATGGAGAGAACCCGGAATCAGTAGAAGAACTGTATATTTAAATGTTTTGAAAAAGGTGGTTAGAGCTATATCAATCAAAATGACAACGAACAAAATGGCGTGTGAAATAAAACACCGGAACGCCTAAAATATTTGTTCGCTGTTCCTTACATTTCTACATCTTTTAAATTTTGTTCTTCCTATTTTTTGGACGGCTCTATTCCTATTTATGGACTGATGCAAATATAAATAGGACTTTACACCCTGTTGACCTCACCATGACGCATCGGATAGTACATTTTAAGGATTACCCCATGTTGAAGCCACTGTTGCATATTCGCAAACCAATCGGCACACGAGGACACCGGTACATGCTTGTGGTACCGGATTTGAAGCGGGTCGCTCACCAACTTGGTTTCGAACGGTGTGTGGCGAAAATCTGGAACATTCTGCCGCAGCACGTAGTTGAGGCAAAGTCGGTGTGGGAATTCAGAAAATCTGGACAAACTGTCGATACGAAATATCATTAATGATTGCTAACACAATTGGCCCGCATACCTGAGGTATTTTAGTTGCAGTTTCACAGAGATCTTTGTTCTTGCTACTTCCAATCAGTAATCATCATACCTTGATCATTGAAACAGTTTGTCTACATGGATGCGGCATTTCCACCACTTCTCCCAAGCGGATAGCCTATTTTCAATTTTGACGAATCACTCAGCTTCTCCATCGAAATGCCAATTTATCTCTTGTGCATTTAAGAGTATGACCCTATAGGTGACCTTTCTTCTTGGAAAAAGTGGCGCGACGTGTGAAATCGCTTAGGGAATTCTAAACCGACTGTGTTCGGTTCAGACGCTGTCACTTCGCGTAAGGCAATACCTTATCACATACCCTGACCTGTTGGATACCCAACTCGACGCTTCCTAACTACTCGATGCCTTAAAGCCTCGTTTTTTCCTGTGATTGCGTTAT